ACGTGGCCTTCTGTGGTCCTTGCGCGGCCTACTATGGAGCTGAGAAAGCTGCCTGTGCCAGCATTGTTCGCTGAGTGCGTCGAAGCCCTCATTGGCCCCTGGAGAGCCTCTTGGAAGCTGGTCGGGGCCTCGTGGGGGCTTCTCGGAGGCTTCTTGGGGCCTCTGGGGGCCTCTTGTGGGCCTCTGCGGGCCTCTGGGGACTCTCTGGGGGCCTCTTGGGAGCCTCTTGGTTGCCAGTGTGGGCTGTTGGGATCTTCTTTGGGACTTCTTGGGGGCCTCTCGGGGGCTTTGGGGGGACCTCTTGGAACGTCTTCGAGGGTCCTGGGGGCTTCGTAAGGGTCTCCAGGGCCGTATTTGACCGATCTTTAAGGCTTCGTGGGCCGTCTTGGACCCTGTCGAAACCAAAAGCGCGAGAGTGCTCAATTGGTAGGGGAACCATGTGTTCTACCGGGTTTTAGCCTTCGAAAGCGTCCTGGAAGTCCTCTTGTTGCCCTCTTGGGCCTCCTTGGCGGCCTTCTTTGGCCGCTCGGGGCCAGCGCTGCCGTTTCCGAGTCGATGTTGGGCCACCGGTCGTGGAAGCCGCAGAGGGCCCGCGCGTCCAGCTTGGAGACAGCAGTGGCCGTCTGAAAGTCCATCTGGGGCCGTGTCGGCCTTCTGTAGTGTTCTCTCTCCGATGCTTCCCGGGGCCGGGGGCGAGACGCTCGGGCGGTAGTCGGGGGCGGAAAAGAGGGGGTGATGACTAGGGGGGGGGTGGATATCATGGCGGGGGTCATGATATTCCCCAGATCTCGTGGCGCCTCTTCTTATTTCATCACGTCCCTGGCCCCCCCGCTGGGCCGCGCACATGCCGCCGGTCATGATTTGCACCCCCCCTCTTGGACACCCCCCTCTTGGCCGCTTCCGAAGGGTCCACGGAGGCCCATGCCGCATGCCCTGTGTCTGGTGCCACGTCTGCCTGGGCGGCCAACCACGCAGAGACTCGGCCACGGCGGGGAAGGCGCATGCTGGGCCCGGTGCGTCGGGGGGGCCCTGTTGGTTGCCCCGCAGCAGGCGAGAGAGCCCGACGCACACCATCAGCAGCAAGCGCGGTGGCGGGCTTCCTTGCCTTCCTCTGCGCAGGAGAGTGTGTCTTCGCCTCCGTCTGTATATCGTCGTCTCGGAGGAGTGTGGATATGCACGCGTACTTTACATAGCGTAAGGCTTCCCTCTTCTCATCTCCCCAGTTCGGCCTTGAAGGCTGGAGGATTCAATTCCGTACCTTTTTTACTCTTTCGGGGGACTCCTGGATCTTTGCCTTTGAATCCTGGATGTGGGTGCCTCGCTCAGCGGCTTCATTATTATTGTTATTGATTTTAATATTATTATTATTATTAGTAGTAGTAGTAGTAGTCGTAGTAGTAGTAGTAGTAGTAGTAGCAGTAGTAGTAGTAGTAGTAGTAGTAGTAGTCGTAGTCGTAGTCGTAGTCGTAGTCGTAGTAGTAGTAGTAGTAGTAGTAGTAGTAGTAGTAGTAGTAGTAGTAGTGGTAGTAGTAGTAGTAGTAGTAGTAGTAGTAGTAGTAGTAAGTAGTAAGTAGTGGTAGTAGTAGCAGTAGTAGTAGTAGTAGTAGTAGTAGTAGTAGTAGTAGTAGTAGTACTACTAGTAGTAGTAGTAGTAGTAGTAGTAGTAATAAGTAGTAGTAGTAGTAGTAGTAGTAGTAGTAGTAGTAGTAGTAGTAGTAGTAGTAGTAGTAGTAGTAGTAGTAGTAGTCGTAGTAGTCGTAGTCGTAGTCGTAGTCGTAGTCGTAGTCGTAGTCGTAGTCGTAGTAGTAGTCGTAGTCGTAGTCGTAGTCAGTCGTAGTCGTAGTCGTAGTCGTAGTAGTAGTAGTAGTAGTAGTAGTAGTAGTAGTAGTAGTAGTAGTAGTAGTAGTAGTAGTAGTAGTAGTAGTAGTAGTAGTAGTGTAGCAGTAGTAGTAGTAGTAGTAGTAGTAGTAGTAGTAGTAGTAGTAGTAGTAGTAGTAGTAGTAGTCGTAGTAGTAGTAGTAGTTGTAGTGGTAGTAGTAGCAGTAGCAGCAGCAGCAGCAGCAGCAGCAGCCGTAGTAGTAGTAGTAGTAGTAGTAGTAGTAGTAGTAGTAGTAGTATCAGTTCGCATATTTCTTCTTATTACTTGTTATCATCATCATTTATTATCATTAGTCGTACTATTCGTATTCGTAGTAGTAGTAGTAGTCGTGTTGTTGATGTTGTTGTTGGTGTTGGTGTTGGTGTTGCTGTTGCTGTTGGTGTTGCTGTTGCTGTTGCTGTTGCTGTTGTTGTTGTTGTTGTTGTTGTTGTTGTTGTTGTTGAACTTCCATTTCTGAAGCATAATTATTGTTGATCCCCCCCCGTCCGGTGCACATTGTTTTGTTCGATTGAAGTGCCCTTCCCCGGGTTCGCACCCTTTTTTTATCAGGGAAAGTCTTGAGGGTCAAACTGTGTCGTTGACCCCCAGTTTACAACAACAACGGCTCCCGCCTGAGACTTCCTCATAATTTTGCCAGGACCCTCGCTCCCGCCCGAGATGTCCTCGCGTCTTATTCAGGAATCGCGCTCTCGCTTGGGACTTCCTTAGAATTTATTCTCCCGGCGCTCTGGAGTCGCGCTCTCGCTGCAGACTTGCTGGCAATTTACTGAAGAATAGCGCCTGTGCGTTGGAATTTCCTGCAATTTACTGAAGCGCCGCGCTCCCAACACCCAGGCACCCAGGAGTCGCGCTCACGCTCAGGACTCCCTCACAGATCACATAGGAATCGGGATCTCGCTGCCCTTCGTGGCCCCGTTGCAGCCCTTCGTGGTCCCCTCGCTTTGTTTCGTGGCCCCGTTGCAGCCCTTCGCGGCCCACTCGCTGCCCTTCGTGGCCCCGTTGCAGTTCTTCGTGGCCTCCTCGCTGCCATCGTGGCCCCGTTGCAGTTCTTCGTGGCCCCCTCGCTTTGTTTCGTGGCCCCGTTGCAGCCCTTCGTGGCCCCCTCGCTGCCCTTCGTGGCCCCGTCGCAGCCCTTCGTGGCCCCGTTGCAGCCCTTCGTGGCCCCCTCGCTGCCCTTCGTGGCTCCGTTGCATCCCTTCGTGGCCCCGTTGCAGCCCTTCGTGGCCCCATATATGTATGCCCTTCGTGGCCCCCGCTCGTTCGCGCCCGTGGTGGCCCTATATGCATCTGTCCTACGTGGCCCAGTTGCTACCCTCAGTAGCCCCATCGTTGCCTTCTGTGGCCCCGCATTATCTGCCCTTCGTGGCCCCCGCTCGTTCGTGCTCTTCGTGGCCCCATACGCATTCCCTTCGTGTCCCCGCTGTTGCCCTTCGTGGCCTACTTCGTGTCCTTATGGCCCTGCTGTCGTTCTCTTTCGCTCTCGCTTTCGCTCGTCGTCATCGCCGTCGTCGTCGTCGTCGCTGTCGTCGTCGACGTCGTCGTCGTGGTCGGTTCCCGGTCCGTCCCTCTTGGGGTCGGGTCGACGGTCCGCGGCCGCCCGCCGATCAGCGCTGCCGCTGGCCAGGCCGACGGTCCGCGGCCGCCCCGCCGCTTGCCGTGGCCCGGCCTGCAGGGAAAGGCATACCCCCGAAAAGGGGTTCGATCGAAGACGAAGAGGGCGGGTATCGAGGGTTTGGGAAATAGGCGTTATTGGACACTCGAGCAGATAAGGGCGAACAGTCTCAAAATGATTGTTGTTGTTGTTGCTGTTGTTGCTGTTGTTGTTGTTGTTGTTGTTGTTGTTGTTGTTGTTGTTGTTGTTGTTGTTGTTGTTGAACATTATTAATTCTAAAGAATAATTATTGTTGGGCCCCCTGGTGCGCGCCCCCCCTGCGCCGCCTAGGCCGCAGCTACATTTTCATCATTTTCGTGAGGAAGCCTCAGGTAATTCGATGTGATCAAGATCCGGTTGTTTTGTTGTAATCCGCTTTCCCTTGCAAAAAACACTATAAAATGACATTTCTTGTTCTAATATAATCAAATTTCAAGAATCCCTTGCAAAAAATAAGGTAAAGTGGACATTCGCGCGCGCAAGACGAAATCCTTCCAAAAGCTTAGTGTTCGGAGCGATTTTAACATAAAAACATCAAAAAACCAATGGTTTTTCAACAAAAAAATGTCAAAATCTCATCCCGCGCGCTCTTGCGGATTCGTAGGAAACCCAACACTTTTTAAACATTTCTGTCAAACGGGCTTTTGCGAGCAACTTTTTCGAACTTCTGCGACAACGGTTGCGCACCTGCCAGGGCCATCATCCCTGTCAAATAATACCATGCGGGACACATTCGTTTTTTCTTCGCGCGCGCACGCCGTCGTCGTCGGCCGCGGGGCCTTGAATAGTAGCCACGGTCGTCCGCATGCCACGAAGTGAAGTGTCCGAACGTCATAGGGCGGGAAGCTGGGTGTGGGTGGTGGCGAAGAGTCGTTTGGAAACTTGGTAGAGCTTGAACCGGCCCCCCCACAAAGTGGGGGTATTGCCCGCCTCCTATGAAAACCCTGGCACTGGTGAGAACGGAGTGTCCCCAGTCTTAAATGATTGTTGTTGCTGTTGTTGTTGTTGTTGTTGTTGTTGTTAGTGTCGTTCGTTTTGTTAGTGATGCTGGTTTAGTTGTCGTTGTTGTTGTTGCTGATGTTGTTGTTGCGTTGAGTGTGGGCGCTCGCATTCTTAATATTAGTATGTTAGTTTATCGTATTGTCGCTACCAATTCATATTTTTAAGTGTTACGACGGTACTAGCATTGATAATAATAGTTTGTATACAAGCAGCTAGCATATCAATACAGTTTGGATGCTTCATCATCGTCGGTGTCTCTGCGCACCAACTCAGCAACAGAAGGCCAATGTGTGCCCAGCAGACTCGTCAGCAACCAATCGCCATGCGTGGGACTCTCCTCCCTCGCCTCCTTCGCCCCTTCCTTCCAGGCAGCCCCGCCGTGGCCATTGCGGTCCGAGCCTCGCTCGCGGGCCCGCGACGTACGTTGCCTGAGGAATGCCGCAGCTGGACGCCGCCGGGGTCCTGCAGGCCCCTCCCCGCCTACTTTTCGAGGGGTGGGGGCGGGGGAGGAGGGCGCAGGGAGGAGAGCCCAGGGCTCACAGCGGAGCGGGGAGGTGGAGGATGAGAAGTCGGATGGGGGATGGGGAGGAGGAGGAGGAGGAGGAGGAGGAGGAGGAGGAGGAGGAGGAGGAGGAGGAGGAGGAGGGAGGAGGAGGAGGAGGAGGAGGAGGAGGAGGAGGAGGAGGAGGAGGAGGAGGAGGAGGAGGAGAGGAGGGGGACAGGGAGGGGGAGGAGCAGGGGGCTGGGCGGAGCATGGGGAGGAGGGGGAGGGGGATGATGGAGGGTGATAGGGGATGATGGGGGATGATGAGGAGGGAGAGACCGAGAATGCGGAGGGGAAGGGAGGAGGAGTAATGAGTTGGAGGGGTAGGAGAAACTGGACGATTAGGAGGACCACGTACGATTAGCATGGTCAGGAGGTGAAGGATGATGAGAAGGTGTCCTTTCCTGAGCTCCAGCCCTACAGACCCCGGCGGATCGGGGTCGGAGGCCCTCCTGGGCTGACCCCCCCAGGCCGCCCCCATGCGCCTCATCCTGACAGCGACGCAGACGATGGCTCTGAGCAGGCGGAGGAGGATGGGCCCTCGGCGGGCCAGGCCTGTCCGGGCGCGAGGCCGCCGCCCGGTCCCCCCCCCGCTCGAGCTCCTCTGGCGCCTCCGCCGCGCGGCACAGGCCGCGGGGCCCCCGTCACAAGGGCCCCCGCCTGCACTGATGGGGGAACCTGGCCCTGCCGCTTCCCTCTAGGCCTCCTAGATGGGGTCCGAGCAGATGGTGCCGGAGGATCGCGCCGCATCGTCGATGCATCGGCGACGCGGCTCGATGCGGAGCCTGATTTTCTCCACGTTGGCAGCGCCGGTGCATCGCCGATGTCGCCGATGCATTGGCGATGCATCGGCGATGTGTCGCCGATGTATCGGCGATGCGGCGCGATCCTCCGACCCCATGTGCTCGGACCCCATTTTGGAGGCCTCTATTCCCAGCACTCCCCTCCGCCTGCGGCGCCCGTGCGCCCTGAAGCTGTTGCTGGCGCCGGCCGCCCTGGTGGAACTCTGGCAGCCACGCTGCCGCGCAACCCGGGGCGCACTGCCGCTGCCGGCTTCGAGCCGCCGCCTCCTCGAGCCTCGCGAGGCCTCCCTGCGCTGCAGCCTCTGGCCTGGGCAGTCGTCTACGCTGCCCCTGCGGCCGAGCCTGGAGTCCTCGAAGGCCCCGCTGCGGCTGCCCGCTTCGCCTCCTCCTCAGACCATTGTCGGATCCGCGGTCGCCATGCTGCCGGCCACGCCCTGCGCCCCGTCCCTCGACTCCCAGAGGTCATTTGGCCTTGGAACGCGTCGCAGTTCCTGCGCCCCCACCGTTGCACGAGCGACGCGTCCTTGGAACGCCGCGTGCAGAGCAGACGCGCCCCCGATCCTCGGGCTGTGCGAGCCGAGGTCGTTCGGGCTCGCTCTTTCGGCCACGGCTGCCTGCATCACCACCCGCTGGAAGTTCGCCCGCGCGACGGGCTTCTCATTGTTGAAGGTTGAAGGTGAATAGCGGATCGTGCATCTTCACGCCTGAGAACCTCTTCTTCGCTCAGCCCTCATGGATGACCAGCGCCTCCAAGACGCACAAGCGAGCCTCTGCCTCCTCGCCTTCCTTCGCCTCGACCTTGAGCTGGTTGCGCCACTCCCCGCGATGGTACTGGTCCGTCTTGCTGGCCCGAATTTTGATGACCACCTCTCAGCGAGCGACGAACGGTATAACATAAACTGTTTCGCTGTCGGGGGCGCCTGTCCCTGGGCGGCTGGCAAGTTGATACCCCTACGGTGCCACCGTAAGGACATAAACTTTCCAGCCGACCGGGGACAGGCGCCCCCGACAGCGAAACAGTTTCTGTTATACCGTTCGTCGCCCGTTAAACCTCGTCTGCCTCGAGCCAGCTCCTGCACGGCTCGCTGGCTCGCCTCCCGTCCTCGGCGAGGCCCGTCCACACACACCGCAGGGCCCTTGTGGCTCGTGCGGCCGCTCTGGTCGCTGGACACGTACCAGGAGGGAAAGAACATACACAGACCCAATGAATCGTCGATTCCCCAGAGAATATCGGAAACTATGGGAAGTGGAGGGGGAGATACAAATACCAGAAATTATGATACATACGCGGAATCCTGATATTTGTGTGCATTTATTTGTGTGTCCCAGGGCCCCTTCAACGTACTCGCTGGACACGTATCAGGAGGAAAAGAAACACACAAACACAATGAATCGTCGATTCCCCAGAAAATATGGGAAATTATGGGACGTGGGGGGGAAGGCAAAAACCCAGAAGATATGGGGAAAATATGCGGAATCCTGTTGTTTGTGTGCATTTGTTTGTGTGTCCCAGGGCCCCTTCAACGTACTCGCTCGCCCTCAGGAGGAAGAAGTAGCCCGTGGCTGCTGCCGCCCACAGCGCCGCTCCTTGGCGGGACCTCTCTGGCTGCAGCTTCCCGATTCACCGCATCTTCCTCAGCGTGACCCGAGGACGGGGCTACGCCACGCAAGGAAACCCTCCGCCCTCGCGAACGCCCAAGAGTAGGATGAAGGCGGAACGAGGAGGGATGCTTTTGCTTGAGACCTCCTTTCCTTGCCACTCACTCGTGTGCTCCAGCTTGGGGCTTCTTCACTGCTTATCCGGGAATCGCGCTCCCGCCTTCTCAGAAATCGCGCTCTCGCCTAGGACGCATTGCCATGTTATCCACGAATCGCGCTCTCGCCTCGCAGACCGCCGCAAGTTACTCAGGACTTGCGCTTTCTCTCTCCTGGCACCCAGGCCGTCTGCTTGAGCATCACGCTTTCGCCGCCCAGGAATGGCCTTCGCGCGGGCACTCCTCGCTGCCCGCCCACTTCCATTCCCCGCCCGCACGACCCGCCCGTGACATCCGCCTCCCCACATCCGCTCGTTGGGGTCCGCCCGCCCGACCCGCCCCTTCGTGTCCTTTTTTTTTGCTTGTTTGGAAGCCCGCGGTTGCCTGGACTCCTGGACTTGTGATGTTCCGACCTACTTTAGCCTGGATCGCCAGAAGGAATCTCGAGCACCAGTGGGGTACCGGAACCGGAGGGTCTTCACGTGCCGGGCCCTGGGAGGCGATGCCCGCTCGACGCTGTCCTGCTGCTCCTCCGGGTGCTCGACACGATCTCGGGCACGTGGCCCTCCAGTGCGAGATGGGAGCAACGCAGGCGACCGGACGGTCACCGCTTCGTGGCACACGTGTTTCATCGGGAGATCTGCTTGTAAACTTGTTTTCGAACTCTACACTGCCGTCGATTTCTTGTTGAACATCCAACGCCCAGGGGCCGCCAGGATCTTAATTTAAGAACGTGGTGTTTGTTCGTATTTTGTTTTAGTATATCATGCTGGTTTAGGATGGTTTTGCCATATTTGATCTTTTTCACGTTTTGTAACTATCGAAATACTGCGCGCGACGACGTTCGACGCTCTTTGCGAGGATCTCGAGAATTCTCCAGGGGCCAGCGGGCGACCCACGATTTCTCGGGCTGGCGGCCAAGGAGATAGCTGCCCGACACGCGCAGCACTCTACAGAGCAAGCCTTCCTGGCCGCTAGTTTGAGCCAGTTGGGGCCACCTGCTGGCCCCTGAAGAATTTTCTTTTTTTGTTTTAAAAAGGAAGAAAATCATAGCATTGAGCGTGGAACGGCCTCGCGTGCAACAGTCGGTAAGGACCGAAAGATGCCACTTGATAGCAATAGAATTATGAGCTCGAGCATCGATCGGATCGGCGGCGCGTCGCCGAATCTCGGGCCGACGAGATCGGTAGGAGGGTTGGAGGAAGGGGGGGGAGCAGGGCAGTGATGCGATTGCGAGAAGAAGGCGCGTTGCACGCGAGGTGGATGAGGATTTCACATGCACTGGCATTCACGCGAATGCTGGTATATGTGTTCTCCGAAAGGGCTTCCACAAAGGCTGGGGAAACACATGGCCCAATAGCGCGGCACATCCTAAAGGCAGGGGGCGGCGGTGATTCGCCGTGGGCGCATTCGATCATCACAGTGCGATTACCACGGACCTCGCACCCATCATCTTAGCTCCATTCCTCCATCCCACCATCCCGTCCACGCTGCACTCATATTTCCAGGCGGCTGTGGCAGCCATGGGCAAATCTGCTGGTTGGCTCGGGCGCTGGCAACGTCGGCAGGCTGGCTAATTATGAAATGCATCGTGTGCGTGCGTGCAACGTGCGTTGGCGTGCTGTCAGTTGCAGTTATATGATATATATATATACACATGTATACACATATACATATAAATGTAAATATATACAGCGCCGCGTGCACGGTGTGTCTAGCGCGTCTGCGCTATGAACTCTGCGACAGCTTCGCAAAACGCCGGTGGGTATTCTTTGGATGCGGCCTGATCTTTGGTCTTATTGACCCAAGCTCTGGTCTTCCATCCTGTGATGGCAGCCTTTCCATCTGCGCCGGCCCGAGAACGGTTTGAAACACGTGGGCCTAACGTCGTTAGAGGGGCGTGGGAGCCCGAAGCAGACAGAGAACGCGCTGCGTCCCTCTTGGTAGCACCTATGTGCATACGTGCAGCAGAGAGAGAGTGAGTGGTAAACATAGCCAGCGGCTTTAAACTTGTCCAGCCGAATACTGCGAGGTACGTTGTCAGTTTGCCAGCGTTAATCATGTTCAGGCTGGCCTGCCAGGAGCGGCTGCGAACGGGCGGCGTCGACGGGGGCGGGCAAGATGGGAGATCGGGCCGAGGCGCGGCGCAGAAGGAACGGGCGGAGAGGGGTAGGGGGAGAGATGAGAGAGCAATAGGGAGAGATATAGAGTGAGAGAGAACAATAGAGATGGGGAGCCGACATTGCCAGAATGACAGAGTACGACGTCAAGGGGGCATCTGTGGCGGGCGGGGCGCCGATGCGTGAAAGGGGGCGACGCGAAACATTGCGGCATCTCCCAGCCATGATACCGATGGGGGACACATGT